ATGGTGTCGGATCATCATCCAACTAACCAGAGACGTATATAACACGTGTTATATACGTCTCTGAACTAACTAACCATTTCAATTATTTGTCAGGCTCTGTTATATTAATCTCCTAATCCATGCAAGCTTTAATGGAAAACCTGTCAACCAATCCCAACCCAATCAGTGTAATCTTTAATGTGGGACACGTCGCCAGGACACCGTGACGTTCGTCTGTAGGACGATGCCTCGAAAAGGGAGGAGTCGTGAGGCGGAAAACCTGTCAACCAACCGTAACCAACTGAAGTAAGAAAGTAAGCTTTAATTTGGGACACGTCGCCAGGACACCGTGACGTTTCTCAGTAGGACGGAGTCTCGAAATGGGAGGAGTCGCGGAGACGGAAAACTTATGAACCAATCAATCGACCAATGTAAGCTTTAATGATTTTGTAAAGGATATGATCCGAAACCATTTTAAGACCACTCTCTGGATGTTTTTCGATAATAACACCCCTTTTAATTTTGTCAACTTTACTAATCCAGAGAAAGCTATGTATATTTCATTATTCATATTTTTATATGTACATTGTCTTGAATTGACAGTGCTATGTGATGAATAAATTGAAAAATTAATAGAGATATTATTATATTTATTCCGCTAATAGGTATATGATTATTCATTTCAATACCTCCGCTATGAATCGAACCCGGGACCCCTGGCTGACTAGTCTGGAGCTCAACCGACCAAGCTAGAGAGAAGGTCTCTCTCGCCGAGCTGTATATTACGGCTAGTATTTACCAGGGTTACATGCTCTGACTCCAGGAAATTATTCATCCTCGAGTTTCCAGGGGTTACAGTGATGTCTGTGGGACAATGCTAAGTATTATTCCCGAGTTCCCACATGGGCGCAAATGTAACCGGGGTCATTATTCATTACAATGCCTCCGCTAGGATTCGAACCCTCTCTAGCCGAGTGGTATATTGCGGCTAGTATGTACCAGGGTTACATACGTAGTCTCCTGCTTCGGGAACTATTAAAAGTTTATATATAAGTCAATTAAATTATTTAAAAAATGTGTTCAGTTAGATATATGTCAGATGTTTAATCATTTACCTGCCAGAGTAAGACTAGTTTAATTTAGTTATTGATATCTATCGACCAGTGGTAAATTATGTGTTGACCAGTGGTCAGAGGCTACTGTTGTTACTTCATCTACGCATGTTATTATTTAATTCCCTGGCCCCACTTGTATAAAACATCTCAACTTGAGATTTCCTCAAGTCGAGATTTTCCTCAGGTAATATCTCCTTGAAAATATCTTGTATGAAAATTCCTCAAGGAATTTCAGGAAATCCTAGCCGATGACTTCCTCCTGTTCCTTGAGAAAATTTTATACAAGCCGTTTTTGAGGAGATATCAGCAGGAGAAAATCTCGACTTGAGGAAATCTCAAGTTGAGATGTTTTATACAAGTGAGGCCAGATTACACAAGTTATTACCTAAGCTCTATCTAGTCAGTTCGCATGAAGGTCAGTGTGTACTAATATTGCGGAAAACAATCCAATCTTACGTCCATTTTCGTGTTTAAGACGAAATTAATGTATTACTCAATTTTTGTTGGACTGTTTAGTATAAACAGACCTTTCTTGGTCTGCTAAATGTGACGAGAGGAGAGCGGAGGCCAGACAGGAGAGAGACCAGTCTCCACAGGCGAGACGCCCGCTCGCTACGGATTTTGCCCGAGTAAGAACATCTCTTTATCAAAACTGTGAAAATACAGTCAACAAGAACTGGATTTCATCATTTTCTTTAAAAAATAGTTTTTAAAGTGTTTATCAAAATTCAGTTTCGGAATTCGATGCAAATCAATATGAAAATTGATGCCCAGGAGTGTAAATGTCCCCACATTGCAAATTCCAGTCATTAACCGAAACACCCCCATTGTATTTTCATTCTTTGTCCAACTCTCTTGTGTTTTTTCCAAAATTTATTTTCAGATCTGATAATTTTTCAACTGTTCTATTATCAGTGCCATCAACAAATATAGATTTGTCCTCAGCATTCCCTCTACCTACCAGCGATTCCCCCGCGGTACCGCTTATACCAGGCTTAATACGTCCCTCACATCCGAGACATGTGTTAAAAATAATGATAGATGGGGAAAGGCAAAATCGTAAACCCAAATTCCTGCTCGAGGTCCATTATAAATCAAAACTCGTGAAAATGTGATCAGTTAACTGATAGGACAAACATATGTGTATTTGAATCGCATTAATGGACTCGCAGCTCTTAATTTACACACGGAGATGGGTCTCCGTCAGTGATTTATCGTATAAAAAAAAACAAAATAATTTACATAAAATGAATTTAATAAGTCTGTAAAAGAAACGCATGAAATATTGTAACGAAGATTGCGTAATCGTCAATGGAATACTCTGACGTCAACATATCGTCGATTCCAGATCACACGGTGTTCCTTACAGATAAAACACAATCAGCATTTTAGTCACGTAAAGTTACGATCACTTTTGTTCTCTGCCCTACTGTCGGAACATGTCAAGGCAAAATTAAAGATTCCTTATGCGACACCTTATAGACTAGACGAAAATGCTAGTTTGATACTTTGACGTACTTCAAACGAATCGCGAAGTCGTATAAAGGTATGTTGTAATGGCTTTGACGTTGGGTGTCGCGCCTTTGTAATCTTCAGAAGGAGCGTACCAGCGTGTGATTGGTCAGTTTTTTTTCTCCTGGGACCAATCAAATTAATTCACTTGTGCCTCCGATTTTTCCATGATGTGTTCCAGGGGTGCAGAGAGCGAAAGTGATCGTAACCATTGGAATATTGAGGATGGTAAAAACGATAATTTGACGTAAAGACTCTCTCAATAAACCTGTCGCTTTTCGTGCACCTTTCATCACTGCTGATAAATCACATTGAAACTCAATATCTATCAATTGTGATGACGTAAAAATCCGCTCGGGCCATAAATGGTGTGGATAGCAACCATACTTATATAATAGTCTAAATGATAAAGATCTTCAAGCAGCTGGTTTTCGTCAACACAACTATCACAGTGGTAAATGCTTGTAAACGTGTATTAAGTGTTGATTTCACTACCTTGTGATTTTGACTCTTTTTCATATGAGGAACATTGCTTTTTCTGCAGTTCCCAGTACTTACACTTTAGCAACCCCCGAATTAGGGGTTATACAAGGTGGTGGTCGTACGTAAGAGGGTTTGATTTCTTTATCATCGCGTGCACACCAGTCTTCATATTCCAGGGGTTACGATCACTTTCGCTCTCTGCACCCCTGGTACATGTCATGACAAAGTCAAAGGCACAAACGAAGTAATTCAATTTGTCCCAGAAGAAAAAAACTGACCAGTCACAGGCTACGCACCTTTTGAAGATTACAAATGAGCGACACCGAACTTTACAATATACCGTTGTGCGATCTCGAGATTTGTTTGAGGTACATGGAAAGACGGAACTAGCCTTGTCCACAGGTTATCGCATATGGAACCTTCAATTTTGCTATATGTTCCAAGGGTACAAAGAGCGACAGTAATCGTCACCCCTGGAGTATCGAGGATATTACATGAAAACTAATGACCCTTCTATATTTCCGTGTGTATTAAATTTTGAGTTTTTTTTTTTTTTTTTTTGAGCTGGATTTTCTTTTCTTTTTATCATTTTATTCGTAACATGGTTTGATCGTTGGGCCTTAAGCATTATATATTCTACAAGTTAAGCGCTTAATTTTTTTGAGGGGGGGGGGGTATAAGGTAAACCCAGTTACCCCCTCCTCCGGCACAAATATAATAATCACCTTAAATGTCAACAATTTCACAGGCCACAGTGCATATGATGTCAAGACCGGTCACTATTTGTAAAGAGCTATGCAGCTTCTGAACTACATGTCAACGGATCTTATCACGGTACCTCTGCCAATTTATATTCCACCAAGTCATGCAAACGAAGCCTGAACTTTGGAGAAGTACATCCCCTAACAGTAACACCGCCATCACCAAATGTTGTGCACAGAATGTGATTCTGATGGTTTGTCGTATTTCCTGGTCTCCAAACATGAATCCAACTAATCTCTTTGCCAAGACCAAATATTCCATGTTCGGTGATCACGTGTCTGTTGAAAGCTTTCTTCTTTGTGCCAACAGAGGACATTTTACTGGTGGGCGAGAGCGATGTCACCTAATCATCCAAACGTCTTTTGACGTGTATTTTGGCGTTACGCCAATTAACGCCAATATTAATGGCATTAGCGGATGAGATTCGCCTTGCCTGTCTACACATTTTTGAGGTCTACCAGAGCTTGGTCCCTCGTCAACCTACCCAGTTTTGTTCAGATGCTGCATTAACTAAGAAATGACAGCATTACTGACATTGAAACATGCAGGTGCTTGCCTGTGTATAACACCATTTTGAATTATTCCAGAAGCTTGCCATCTTTCAACATTTGTCAATTGTTGACATGCAATTTTCAAATACAATATGAACACGAGTATGATTTACTGGCAATACACTGCAAACACTGGTTTAGATGGCACCACAAAGTTGTGTTCTGTCCATTAAACTACCCTACTTTAATCAACGTTATTGTTTTGTTGGTTGTGCCCCATAATTGGTTGCATACAGCTCCAAACAAAATGAGACACTGCAAGGATTATGAAAAAATTCCTCTTTATGAATCATTTTTATATAATTCATACTGAAATTGATGATCAGTAACTTATATTTGTGCCGGGGGAGGGGGTAACTGGGTTTTCCTTATAACCCCCCTCCCCGCTTCAAACTTTGAACCTTAATCTTGGATACTTTTCTGCCAAATATCTGGATTCCAAAGTCATTTGAAGGGAAAAGTTGACGCTAGATTGACGATGGACAAACAGCAACACTGCATACTGACATACGGTTTATATACATGTATATAAATTATAGTCACTATTATAACATAAAAAAAAGAAATTTACACAGAGCAATAATCTTTATTACACCGATATATATGATACATGTACATGATGATGTTGGTGATAAGATGATAACATGGATGACATTAATGAAGATGATGGTTAAAAAAAACCTGTTCTTTTAGATACACTGTACATGGAATCTATGCACCAATCAGTACATCAATAGAGCAATTTGATCATGATCTATGACGTATTAATTCTCTACAACAAGGTGCTGATTACCACAGCAGTCTACATCTTATTGCACCATTCAATGTATGGGGAGCTATGTGCAGTAAATCCAATATATCAATGTAGCTTGTCTCTGATACACAAGCAATTTCCTCAGTTATGTTATCGCTGCCCCTAATCCTAATCTTAACCCTGGAAGGTTGTGTAGACCTCTGGATTATGAGAATATCTTTGGAAATGAATCGTTTGGATGTACAACAATGTACACTGTATAGACCCTGTGATTTACAACTGGATATAAAACCCTACTATCAAGAATAGAGCATTCAGTGGTACTATAGACAAATTCATTCATTGTCTAGGCAACCTACTTTATGTATCATATGTATCACATGTATCATATGTACACATCAGAAATCTGGGCAACAGCTTGTACTAATATACATAACTTCTAAGTTTTCTATGTTCCCTTATCATATTTGAAGTAAGTCTGTAGTGGGTTAAAAATTACAGACATGTAGGTTCTATTATGAATACCCTAGAACAGAAGTCTACACCTCTTTTGATAAGCTTCCAACTGACAAGGAAAATAACTGAAAAACTGGTGAGGTTTTGAATTTGGTAAATTTCAGTGAAATTATGTAAAATTTATGATTTTCTCAATGTAAAAGACAATTGATATTGCAATTAATAGACACTGTGTTGAGAGCACAGATTCAGGAGGACAATTCTGTAGCTGAGTGTAGACACTGATTAATCATCTTTAAGTTCCGCTCTCTGATTTGGATCTGAAATCCTACACAATACAGAGATAAAGTTGAACCTCCTTATCTCAATGTCAGAGAGACTGTTGGAAAACTTGAGTTATCTGAGCATTCAATTTATATGTGCTCAAATTACGATGTGAAATTTGGCCAGGACCAATAAAAAATACTTTGTGAATTAAACAGGGTGTTTAAGTTATATGAGTTTGAGATAACAAGGTTCAACTATACCTCTATTTTCTTGTACAGTGCTGTTAAACATAAACATTTCTGACAAACTAATGTTATTCACATTACATATTCAAGATGGCAAATTTTTTCCCGAATTGTTTTTCCCCCGTCACATTTCTCCACATTCAGAAATAATCACAGGGATTTTTGGTTTGTTGTTTGGTCCAGTTGGTACATTTTCAATCTTCCTTAGAACTAGCAGTCCATCAATCACCTTTCCTGTCGAGACACATTTAAAGAAAACGTTTAAGCAACACAAGAGGATCAAACAATTTGACATCAATGAGCTTTTTTCCACTCATTGGGTAAATAGTGTTCATATAAATGAGATATCTCCTATTTTAGGATGAAAATGATCAGAAGGAAAGGAAAGTTTAATGAGAAAATAATAAACTTAGGAAAAATCATATTATGAAATAAATCAAATCAGGAACGGGGCTCATATTTAGCTCAAGAGAGCCTCTAGAAAAAGCCCTGTATCATAGATCTATTTTTCTACTCACAGAACTTAGCATTACAAGTTTCAGATGGACAATAGCTTGGACTTTTTGTCAATACATGATTTAAAGATTGTTGATTATTTTCTGTATGTGCATTGATGTGAATTGATATTTGGGTACTTACATATTTTATCTTGTGGACTGAAGATATTAGTAAAATATGTAGTTAGTTATTCAAATGTCCATACACTTATATGCACATACAGAAAAAAATAGAACAATCCTTATACTTCCATTTATATACAATTGCTGTGTTTTTCCCCTAATAAAACATAAGAATATCGACTGTGTTTATACTCCAATAAATTTAGTCCAGAACGTGCTAGACGATGACGTAACAATATTGGCATAGGCATACATTTACACACAAGTCAAAGGTTGCGGCCCATTCATGTTTACAAACAAACACCACGTTTTGCTAGAATCGACCAAACGAGACTTTTAAATAAACGGTGATTAAATTTGATAAAATATTGGTTTTGTAATTTATTTTTGAGGTCTTTGTATGACCAATTTCCTTCAGAAAACATGAATAAAATAGTTGAAATCAACGAACTATTTGTTAGGTTTCCAAGGAGAAAAAAGTGGGCGGAGTCTAGCTGTCTTGGCAGCTGTTCCCGGAATTCAACGGAATGGAGCGTCACTTTCACTTTCGTATTTAATTACTTAAAAATGGCGAAACTCAAAGTGTATTACTGGATTATTTTTGAAAGTAAAATTTGTAAATAAAAGAATTGTCTTTTATTTTTTCTTTGTTTATGAGGTAATAAATCCAGTAGAGCGCACGGTAAATTTACACATAAACTTCACGTTTATGCAATTTACCGCGTGCTCTACTGGGTTTATTACCTCATAAACAAAGAAAAAAGAAAAAAAAAAAAGAAAACAAATAAAAAAAAAATAAAAGACAATCCTTAAATGAAAACCACAATTTAAAAAGAATAAATGAGAATTTACCTTACACAAATTGTTAAAACAGTGACGAGTTCAGTTATACCTATGTTTTACCATATTACACAGGAAGCAGTAAGTGGTACCACATGGGTGTCATTGACAACACCATGACAACAAAATAGTTGTAAGAGCAAACAATTAAAATAACATCTAATATGTAATGTTACATGCTTCTTCACATTTAAACCCACAATTATATGAAATTTAGGGATGAAAACAAACATTGTGCATTTACCAACTGTATGCAAAATTCTCAACTCCATTCATAAATGTTAATAAAAAACATTGTTAACAGTAAGATACATCTAGAGACTATGCAATTAAAATGTTGATATTCAATGGTATCAAATTGATTCTGTTACATTAAACATATCTAAAGGTAATTAGACATGACATACTACTTGCCATTTCACTGATCTCTGGACAAATAAGATGCAGCAAAGCGTGACATTATCCCACGCACACAGGTGTTTGTATGGAACCCAAATATGCTATATATAGCACTGTAATAATTTGAGACTTCACACACTTATGTATCAGTACTTTGCACGTGAAGGTCTATTACAGTGAAAGCACTAGTAGAAAATGCTAAACTCACATCTCCACAACTTAAACATTATAAATATATATATAGAGATATAATTGAAAGTATAGAATCATCACAACAAATGTGTTTCAGTAATGATTTCAGGCATAACAGCTATCTTCAGGCAACAAAAGATTTTCTATGTAAGAGATGTAAAACATGTAATAATAATGATAATGATCACACTCTGAGGGGCCAATGCCTTGAAGTTGTAGCTCAGAAAAAGCCTTCTTTAGAGGTTTTTAACTATATTTTTGCAAAAACTGAAAAAATATAATAAAAAAATGAAATGTTGTTAATAGCAAAAGGTTCAACTATGGCACTAAGTTAATATGTGCAGAAAGTTTTGTGAAGTTGAGTGGAACAGTTTGGAAGATATAGCCTGGAAAAGCCTCTTTTTGTGTTATCTGACTATGTTTCCACGGAACAGAAAAAGAAAATATAAAGTGAAATGACGGCAATAGCAAAAGGCACAAATAGGGCACCCACTTAATATGTGCAGAAAGGTTTGATAAGTTGAGTGGAACGGATTGGAAGTTATAGCCCAGAAAAGCCCTCTTTTGGTGTTTTCTGATTATGTTTCCAAGGTAACAAAAAAAACATAATAAGTGAAATGTTGACAATAGCAAAAGGCACAACTAGGGCAATGACTTAATATATACAGAAAGTTTTGTGAAGTTGAGTTGAACAGTTTTGAAGTTATAGCTCAGAAAAGCCCTCTTTTGGTGTTTTCTGACTATGTTTCCATGGTAACAGGAAAAAATATAAAAAGTGAAATGTCGACAATAGCAAAAGGCACAACTAGGGCACCAACTTAATATATATAGGAAGTTTTGTGAAGTTGAGTCGAACAGTTTCGAAGTTATAACCCGGAAAAGCACTTGGACGGACGGACAGAGCCCAATTTAATAACCCCCCAAACGTGTTTCGCGGTGGATAATAAGTAATGGGATTATATTTACAGGGTTTTTCTCTCTATTTGGGTACAATAAGCTGGTGACACTCCTGGAACAAATTTACCTAGGCACTAGGTAGCTAAGTGGAACTTTATCATTTTTCATTTTCCTAAGGTCAGTTTTATATAAAAAGAATTGGATTTTTTATCAGAAAGATCAACTAGGTATGTGAAATATTACTGCACAATCTTTTTACAAAATTGTATACCTATATATTCAAAGTAAAACATGCCATAAGTTAAAAGACAGAACTTCAATTGTGCAGTAAAGTATTGCTTCACAAATATCTGTTCATTGATAGATATACATGCAAGTCTGGAGACCTATACTAACAGAACTTTTGTGGGACTCGTAGAATTTCAGGAAATTCTTTAACTTTACAAAACTGGACCCATTCTTTTTAACAATCAAGCTGAGAAGAACCCATGAAGATAAATATATTTTTAACGCTGTCCATTTTTTTTACTTTTACTCACATTTCCACTCACTACGCCAAGATACAGTGTAACACATGTACCTGATCAATTTTGGTATCTGCAATAAAACTTACCAAATACAACATGTTTGTTGTCCAGGAAGTCACAGGTTGCACAAGTGATGAAGAATTGACATCCATTACTGTCTTTTCCACTGTTAGCCTATATCAGAGAGAATTTAGATAGCATACCATTTAATATAAACCTGAAAAATCCTGCTGAAACAGCACACAGTGTAAGTCACACACAATGAAAAATTTTAATTCAGAAAATGACGAACGTAAGTGATAATATTTATTTACTATAAACGATACTAATATTCATGCTTGAAAAAAAAAAAAAAAAACATTATTCAAAAGCAAGTTTTATGGAAATACAGAAAATAAATTTCCAGGTAAAGACACACCTGTCTATAGAGAGCAAACAATGATTATGGACAGGTGGTCAGTATAGGCAGGTAATATCATAACAATACAGTGTTCACATTTCATAGAATTTTTATTCTTTCAACTTGTCATTACATTATATGTCAAGAAATTAATCCAAGAACTGATTGTCCCCCTCAAAGTTATTGGGACTATAAATTATTAGAGAATTCTAGCTAAAAGAGTGTCAAAGTTTTGTTAAAGATTTTGTGTAATACATAGCCTTCATAATGAAAAAAAAAAATAAGGCTATTTGTGTCATTAATTTTCTGACACTGTGTGAACTTCAAAATTATATGAAGCTTTATCAACGTAATATATGTTATAATATTATAGAGATAAAGAATTATTGCTAGAACACTTATGTGTGTTAGCCCAGACAGTATATAAAAGTGTGCAGATGTTAATGAGCACTTACAGTAAGCACAAAAGCAATAAACATCATTGAGAAAACAAAGCACTTAAAAAATGTGACAATTCGCAACTCTACCATATCACCTACTCAATAGTAACTGATGTATTAATTTAAGGCTTTCTCTGTTTATATACCAAGCTCATGTGAAAACAATAGCCAGAATACCAAACCAGAAAATTAAGAACTTCAGTTAAGAGGTATTTTTAAGTAGGATTCTTATTTCCCAGACCAAATTTTAAGTTTGACTTGTCTGAATTTTACAAGTTTTCCAAATTTGAATTTTCAGAGTAATTAATACTAAGATAAAGAAAGAATTCTGCGGAGACCAATAAAATCCTTCATGATAAGCGAGATATTCAAGTTTTCCTACTTCGAATTAACAAAGTTTAAATATATATTAATAGCACTATGAAGATGATGAAAATTCAGTACATGACTGAATAGAAAAGATTTTAGATAAATTAGTTTCCCAAGTTGATGCTGTGAATTTTTTTTAATTCTTCAGTAATGAAAAATGTAATTGATTTGTACAGTTTTAAAGTTTAGCACAATTTGATAAAGGATTATCTCCCCTATGGCAACAGCCGAATGCAAGGTCTTCACAGTGAGTCTTAATGGTTTATTCAATGAGAAAGAACTGCTCTCAAGATTTCTCTTTCATTTTCTTTCATTGTACTTTGTAATTTACCTATAAGGCCAGGAAATTTGATAGATATGTTTTTCTGGTTTATCTATTGCAATGGTTTGTGGGTAATTACTGCATACATACCATAGCGAGTATTCCTGGTCCACTGTGACTTATCTTGAAGTTTTCATCAGCAAATGTACCACCATAAGTGCTGCATACCCCTGTACCATCTTGCTACATGAGGAAATACCAGAGAAAATACAAGACTAATTTACTTTCTAATGAAAAAAAGATTCATAATGTAACTTTGATTAAATACTGAGAAGCTTTAAGTAATGGTATTGATTTTTAACTTTTAAAAAGTAACTATAAAAAGTTTTGATGTTGTGGAATCAGTAAAGAAGAAGGCACCTGATGGTGGACCTCAAACTAGGACATAGACAATAATCAGAAATTTGATTTTCTTTTTTTACAAAAATTTTACTCACATTTACAAAGTCGCCGCCCTGCACCATGAAATCTTTTATGATTCTGAAAGCAAACAAAATGTAGTGAATATCAAAATTTAAAGACAGAACCTAGCAATATGAGATTTCAGGCACATGTGTGTGAATATAACTCCCATTGTATGTATGTTACTCTGAAGCAATGTTCAACTACAGGGTATACATTGTAGGTCTCAAAGGACAAGTTACAATGGGTTCCATGTATGATGATATTATTTGTTTTCTAGGTTTATTTACTCATGCACACCAGGGTAATTTTTAGGTCCGGTCTCCTTCGTAGAAGCTGGTGGCTGCCTCACTTAACAATATTTAAGCGGCATGTTGCATGCCTTTGAGAGCATACAGGTTAAAGTGTCATGCCCAAGGACACAACAATGACAGCAGAGACTGGCCTGTTTCTAAACCTGAGAAACACAAACCAGCTTGGGTATGAAGTGTGGACTTATGAATATTACATCCTCACCCAATGTTAAGTACACCAAAGCTCTAACTGTTAAGGCTAATTTTGTAAGAAAAAAATATCTTGATTCATCATAATGACATTTCATCAATACTACTGTATACTTATCACATTGATACTAATTGTATGCATTTAGATGATATTCAAAGCCATATTAAAAACAATATTTTGATATTTCTAACATACAAATATTGTCTTCAAAATGTTTTGATAAGTAGTATCATTATTTGAAACATTGAATGACTCCAATTTCAACTTGTCTGATATAGCATTGATGACCGAGAATATATTTTGTTTACCTGTGGAATATACAGCCCTTGTAGCCTATAGGTACTCCATCTCTTCTGTACTCCCCTGTACAGAGTTGTCTGTAAACAAGCAAAACAGTATCAAATAAGCAGTATATACAAGCTGCCTGATAATCAAACTATACATGCCACTTCATTACAATGTTTGAATATATTGTATCTGATTGAAAACCAGATTCTAATTATCGCTCCATTACTCTCCGCATTAGAAATTGACAACATCCCATTGGGGTCATGTTCTGGTGATCTTGGCACCCTTTGAACTTCACCCAAAGGGAATGGTATAATAGACAATTTTGTTTGCATCAAGTCATTTTATCATAACATCTGACCAATCTGATAAAAAAAGTCAGATTTTATTTCTTACTCGAACTCTCTGCCGTGGAGAAAAAACAAGAAACAGCATTTTAATCAGATTGATATAGCTATATGTTTTAGCTATTAGCGACATGTTGACATGCAAATGGATTATGCTATTACGCCCACCTTCATTCACTTACAAGATTTTGTAAGCAGTAATTTGATTGGCTTATGGAAAAGTTCACCAGAACATGCGCCCTTATGGCATGTTGTCAGATCCTGATTTGGAGAGTAATGGAACAAGAATAAGGATCTGCATTTTAATCAGAATTAATATATTGTGGACTCTATAGCTAGATGTTTGAAATATAATTTTATTGGGCCGACATGGTTTTATATATCAAAAGTAGGTTACTGTGACCTATATCTTAACAAAAACATCACCGAACTCAATAAGCTTGTTTGTGATGCTGGCATGTGAAAATATCCAGTTTATAAGTACAAAATTTAATTTACTGTCTACTTTACCCAGTAAATATCAAAGCCAGTATGAAGGTACAACAATGTGAATTTTCTGTGGATGTCAAATTTCTCATAAAAGAAATATCACAACTATCTCCATATATATGAGTTATAGACAAAAGACATAAACCAGCTTACATTTAGTGTTGCATGCAACACAAATCCCCTTCCATGCCATAATTAGCATTTTTGAAGCAACATTTCAAATATTTTGATTGGAATATGATATGGAAATAATTTTACCTAGTTTGCAGCCTAATACAATGTACATGTCAATTTCTTTCAGTAGTGTGTTTGTTTCAAATGGTAATGATAAGAAATAGATCACCGATAGAATTACATTCTTCTTCACTGAAGTTGTCATGAATGAAACAAATATGTGTGATAAATATCTATTTTCAGGCATTGTCAATGAGCATTATTGTAACTGTAGATATTCTGAAATGACAATTGGTCATTCCTAACTCAATTCATCATCTGAAAAATGAAAATCTATTTTTAACCACAGTGACCATTGTAGCTGATTTTTCACCCCAATCCCACACTAGATCTCCTACTAACCTAATATTGTACCAAGTTTCAACCCAATCGGCCATCCCTTACTCAAGTTATCATTTGGGAACCATCTGTCTGGATGGACAGACAGACAGACGATGACAAACACTATAGTCCCGTCTGATTTCACCGGCAGGGTACTAACAAAGATTGACAATGAGTAAACAAAGACAAAGCATGCAATAATTGTAACATAAAATATAGAATACAGTACCTGAAATTTTCGGCAGTTCTTGGAACAACATCAGCAAACAACTCAAACTTTATGCGGCCGACATCCTAAAATTTTAGAAATCAAAACAAATAAATGTTGAAAAAAAGTCAGAAACACTTCCAAAAATTGTAAATTTACAATGAACATTTTTATGTAATGGCAATAATCCCTAACAAGTGTCAGAGAAATTGATGAAAAGTAGTACAAGCAGATCTCTGTACAATATTAAAATGTATGAAAATAATATAGCTCATTGAAAAATTGTTGAATCAGATTGCTGTATGAGAAAACACAACTTCCTGTCATGGTGATTAAGTCTTTTAAGTTCGAAAGAAATAGGTCACAAATTTTAACGGAGAGATCTTTACTATGCTATCCGGATATTCACAGTTAATTTCCAATGTCCAGCTTGACCACTACTTTGGTGCGGGAAACCCTTTCAAATTTAGCGCTGATAATGTTATGTAACAGTTTTGAAAACAAGGCAGTTCATTTTGTAAACACTAACACACAATGGCCGCCAAAATGACAGTGACAGTCATGACACAATAAGTATAATCCTGTTTTTCAGTACCAGATTTTGTTATGGGTGTGGAAAATGTTATTTGTTAACTCTCAAGTCAATTCAGAATTATGAAATAAGTGACATTAATCGCCTACATTGTCGCAACTAATTCAGACGGAAGCCATTTTTGTTTAGACGACAGTGTTTGTGTGCATGCATTATTACATATGATGCAAAAATTCACATATCCAGACTGTCGATCAACAGATAAGGATTTCCTTTTATAGATATCAACTTAACCTCTTTCAGAGCATATTTCAACAATATTATATGCAATAACAAAAAAAAATCAATAAAATAAAAAGAATATTTCACTGTATATCATCTGCGAGATATGGATCCCATGCTCCTTGCGCATGTAAACTTGTGGTAATTTTACAAGAGATGTGTATGCTTATTCTTTTAAGGATATTGAACTGATGTAAAGGTTTAAGTGAACAAAGATCAAGTGTACTATTATCATGCTCAATTTGACTGTATATGTTAATCACATTTAGATACCGGGAAAGAAAAAATTCAAAAATATTGCTTGAATTTGGGAATACACATCATCATACAGTGTAGGCCAGAAATATTCCAAACAATGACTTACCTGATTGCTGAAATATTTTTTCATCTGAAAGGCGATAAAACCTGTCCTATTTGTTTACATTCACCATATATATGTTTAGACTTGATTGTACAACTAAATTGGTTTATACTGCAGTATAATGTATAAATGATTTCAGCTATTTTTAGTAACAAATCTATACCACAATTGGTTTATAAGAGTGAAGATCTCTGAGGGCTTTGGAGCTCTATACCAGGAACATATGTGAAACCACATTTAGTTGACGTCAAGGACTAGATACTGGGATCCATGTGGGAAAAATTCTTCCAAAAGTATGAGGCATGGAGCATATTGAATTGAAAGGCATGGAGCATCAGTGCTCTGCACTATACCTGTAGCTGATGTTAATAAAAAATACTATGACAACATTTTCACTTTCCTGGATTTATTTAACTTACTTTTCATTTTTACTGAAACCTAAATTTGCTTTTAAACAAATGAAATTTGTGTGAATTAAAATTCCTTTATTCCTCAGAGTACTGGACTTTTAACGCCAACCAAAAGGTTCTGGAGCAGACAACAGTACACATATATTGGGGAAATGTAAACAACCAAGCCATACCTAGTTTCAATCATGGTGTGCAAATTGAAATAATTAATAATGAATCTAGTGAGTTGGAGAAACAAATGATTCTTGTCACAGATCACCAAATCAGTGAGTTGGTTGAATTTTGTCATCGCAAGTATTGGTACGTGAATTCCTTTATCAATGTTTCATTGAAGAGATCATAATTTCGTTATCAAAACCCCACAATCACTTGCTCCTGCAGCACATCAAATGGATGCTTATCTACAGACAACAAAATAAGTGAATGACGCCATATATTGGAATGACATGCTATAGAGATTGTTACCAAATAGCAAGTGTATATGGGTTCCGAAATATGTAACGACGAATATCACCTGGAATCGAGCAAATATGCCAACTATTCAGTCACTTCACAAGTAAACGTGATTTGTCATCCATTTTATCGACGAAAGAAATGTTACCGGGCCTCACCTGTATGTTTTAATTTGCCATATATCTGTATTTACCGGTAGATACATGTACTTACAGCCAGATTTGCCGGTGCTTCAGGACAGTACCTGTGATAACACTTGCTCCAAAGCCTATTCAGTTTTAGTCAGTTTGCATGACGTGCTCTACAGAAAAGTTCCGTCAAATACATTTTCTGGAATATTATCAACATGATAGAGGTGCCAGTTAAATACTCACAGTGTTTCCAATGGTAATATCGAAAAAAACGATAGGGTTTCCTGCCGACGTTTTTTCTTGCATGCTTTCAAATTTGAGCGATCGTTGTCGATTATCAACTTGTTTCGACTATCGTAAAAGTTTGTGCGATGAAAGCATTTCATTGACCGAGGATATTACTTTTAATAAAAGACTCGCACAGTGCATTTTATCCGGAAATTGTCTCGATGAGAATAGCAATAGATGAAAAAAAAACATGTAACCATTATCACAGACTTAGTCCGCGCATGACTGAAGTGAACATTAACTGTTATCCTCGTTATCCTTATCAACGTTGTTTATGGTATTAAGTTAAGTTTATTTCTGGCACATGAAGCCCTATTTGAGTCCGATACCACACTCCAAGACAAAAGTATAACACATGTAGTATATTAATTTCCAGAATAACGGAACTAATTTTCTGTCCGGTACACTGCATTATGAATTCACTCCTCAAACTAGACGTAATCGTAGCCACGAACAAAGGCTTTATAATCAGAGACATATGATATATATATACGTGCTATATACGTCTCTGGCTCAACTAAGCATAATTATAGTGTAACAAAACCACTAAATTAAATACAATAAAATATGTTAAAATCAGGGACGTATATATCACATAAGTTTCTTGTCACGTGTTAAACTGAAAAATATCTGCCATTTGATCTTTACAAATAACAGTTACCATTCATCACACTCGTTTTTGACGCGTTTTTAGATCGTGGCAGTGTTTCAACAGGATTTCGCGAAAGCGACCACACTACTGTACGGCAAATAAATAGGGGGATCAAAGCGCTGTGAATAATGAGGACACAAAGAACAGATAAAGATTTTAACTGCATATGTCTGCAAATGTATATGCATGCATGTACATATGTGTGAAGGAGCGTAAATACTGATGGGTATATATTTGTATATGTAAAGTCTCAGTCTGAATATATAAGTGTGTTCTTGTGGGTGTGTCTGTAAGAGTGTGTTTATTTTATTCATGTATCGATTGTACATTGTACTGAATAAAAAAAGATAAGTTATAAAAAAAAAGATTTTAACTGTGATTAATGTGAATGTTGTGTATGCTGTAAATATTATACAAACTAAAGAGTTCAAACATCATTTAAAACAGAAATATGAAGGAGTTATAACAGGGACGTATTGTATTATACGTCCCTGGTTATAAGTATAAAAATGATCTTGTGTACATGTAACTGAATATTTGAAATATGACTTAAATATTATATCACAAAAATTAAAATATTGTTAATTCATCAGCTCATACCATACCGACTTAGACCATTAGGATAGTACAGTAATGTTTCCGGAACAGGAACACTTTGCGTTCCTCTTCACCAGATTCAAAATTATATCGTTATGGTTAAAAGTTCATTTTCCGTTTAGTTTACAGTAGCTCTATAATCATATAAGATATCATGATTTTTCCAAAACTTTTCCAGTTTGCTGTTACAAGTATTTATATTTGGAGCAAATACATACAATGTCTTCTGTAAGATCGTTTCATGTTTTTCACTGTTTTTTTTTCACAGTTCTTATAGCAAAACTATTTCGTCTTCTGTTGGGCCTGTGATGTTGAAGAAACAAGGTTTCGGAGTGTCCTCGACAATTTCTTATTTCCAGGTCCATCTTAAGTTTTACAAAAATTGCAGGAATCCTTATCAGATATACCGTTTGTGATTTTATAAAGTTCTATCATATCCTCTCTAAGCCTTCTGTATGATAAAGTTGGAATATTTAGCTTCTGTAACCCGGTCTGGTACGATATATTCTTCATTTCAGGTAAACTTTTTGTGGCCCTTCGTTGAACTAACTCCAGCTTATCTTTCACTTTTATTGGTGACCAAACAGAACTTGCGTAATCCAGTTGTGATCTCACCAGGCTTTTGTACAGCGGAAGAAAAGTTTTAGAATTTATAAACTGAAATATTCTTCTTAACACTCCGAAAATTTGATTTGCTTTCTTCACTTTTTCACTAATGTGGTCTTGGAAAGTAAGTTCAGAATCTACCATTACTCCAATGTCTTTTTCCCTATCAGTGACTCTCAGACTATTCCCCAGTAATTGGTACTTTGCTCCTGTTCCATCTATCTGTGTCGTATCTTATACGAACATCATATGCTTGCATTTATCAGGATGTAACTTAGCATTTTATCAAATGCACTTGCATTGCATGCATAATGCGTTTCCACAACTGCTTACCTCACGCCTTTTCTGGCTTTCGGTCTCTCCAACTATTAGTTCTGTTGGTGGGCGTCGGCGCAAGCGGGTGTACGTATTTACTGATGTCAAATAGAAACTGGATAGGTTGATGATGATGCAGTAGTGATGTTGTGTATTTTTCATATGCGCATGTACGACTATTTTCCTTGACTCTGTAGGATTTCGCTTCGATGCATTACAAGAAATTTACCTTTAATCTGCATTCATGAGCAAAGTGAATGCTAAATGTGAAATTCAATTTGAAGATTTATCATTTATCTATGAGGGATAAATATAATGATGGTTGTCAGAAAAATATCTAGGGGGGACGAGGTTTATATTTAACAATATATAGCAATAACGGACATCTAGAGATAAAGACAGTAATGATATAAGAATTATCCCATTGGTTTTGCCCTATCAAAGAGCTTAAGTGACAGAGCTTTAATTTGGAAATATTTAAAATATCCAACCTATAGGCATGTATGACATTGGTGGGCTTTCAGATCCAGAGCGTTACAGACCTTATGTGCCTCTTGTTTTTGTACACATTCTATAAAGCCTGATGCTTTCTGCTACATGTGACATGATAAATGAAATGATAGAGTGACTGATTTTTTTCTTCTTGTTTTGTATTCTAATGAGCCAAAGACTGGTTCCTGAAATAATGTTGAGCCAAGACTTGTATGTATTGTAATTGTTATCAGTAAACTGTCAAGGATTCAAGACTTCCAGGATGATGGATTCTGACCAGTTGCATTTCTGAGTAATCAGTTATCAGAGGGGAACTATATGGTCTTTGGCCTTTAACATAAAGTGTAAAGGGAGGTACGTGTGTGGTACAACGTATGGGTACTACTGAATTTGACTTCCAAAAAAGATGCAGAACATTTTGAATGAAAAGAGAAATAGAATTATTATATGCCCCTCTCCATAATATTTCGGAATAAAATACCTCCTACATACTATTCTAATGACTTTCATAAATATATCACGTTCCTAATATTTCAGATAATTGTTCTCTAGATACTGTTCTGATAACCGTCATAGATGTATCCCCCTCCTAGTATAGGGGGAATACATTTCTGATGGACAAAAAAGTATTCCCGGATACTTTAGGATGGGGGATACAAATATGATATGACACCGGGTGTCCATGCTATGTATTATTTTGAACTTGTGATATCTCCTCTGTGACGTATGATAGGGTTTCCCTGATATTATGTGTAATTTTGACATTGTTAGATATCATCTGTGACGTATGATCGGGCGTCCATGATACTATGTGTTATTTTGAAATTGTGATATCTCCTCTGTGACGTATGATAGGGCGTCCATGATATTATGTGTTATTTTGATATTGTTAGATATCATCTGTGACGTATGATAGGGCGTCCCTGATATTATGTGTAATTTTGACATTGTTAGATATCATCTGTGACGTATGATAGGGCGTCCATGATACTATGTGTTATTTTGAAATTGTGATATCTCCTCTGTGACGTATGATAGGGCGTCCATGATATTATGTGTTATTTTGATATTGTTAGATATCACTTACGACGTATGATAGGTCGTCCATGATACTATTGTGTTATTTTGATATTGTTCGATATCATGTGGGACGTATGATCGGGCGTCCATGATACTATTGTGTTGTTTTGATATTGTTAGGTATTATGTGGAACGTATGATCGGGCGCCCATGATATTATGTGTTATTTTGATATTGTTCGATATCATCTGTGACGTATGATAGGGCGCCCATGATATTATGCGTTATTTTGATATTGTTCGATATCATGTGGAACGTATGATCGGACGTCCATGATACTATTGTGTTGTTTTGATATTGTTAGATATCATGTGGGACGTATGATAGGGCGTTCCTGATATCATTGTGTTATTTTGATTTAATATTGTTAAATATATTAAAATCAGTTCAATTTTGAACCTCACCTGATCTAACTTTATAAAATGATAGAACCTCTTTATGTAAATTTAGAACCACAAATCAAAAACTTTCCTTAGGGACATGAAGATGGAATAAAGTTCTATATAATTAGTATTACGCAAATGTACAATTGGTGTACATCTTCTGTTTTTACGACCCCTAGTTACACACGTTTACGTGTTGCACGAGGTTGCTTGAGTGAAGGAATAAAATCTTGAGCCAACACTCATGATTCGCCTATTTGAAATAACCATTATATTATAAATACACTAGTACAAACAAATTATTATTAACTAGAGATAGATGGATTGTAGGGGATCAATACATCATTCTGAGTTATAAATTACATATTTCAATCTTAAACGAAAGAAAGTCGCATGCCAAATACCATAGTTTCAAAGATCGAGTTTAAGTGATCTGAAACGCTGGTGTTTTAAAGTAACCTTTATATACATCAAACTTATAAAATATGTATATTTATACACAACAATATACAACTCTATATTTTCTTCTGTGACACGTATATCATGAATGCCACAAAGCGGGATTCGTGTTCAGAGACTTGAAAATCACGTGCACGGCGCGTTGTGACGTTAGCTCTGAAACCCTGTATGCTAATCCTACAACATATTATATATATGCATATACAAAACTGTTCAAATAGAAGAATTGAACCACCAAAACACGTAATTTGAACAAGTGACATACATGTATACATACATTTTATTTACTAATTTTAAGTTTCGTTTCAGCCATAAAAGCAAATTTGGTGCTTTAAACCAGAATTTTTGACGCACTTTATTTGGTAACTTTTTAACAACAGTGTGAATATGCTACACTGGTAAGCGTATGAGATTTAGTCACATGATCACATTGA